GGGACCAATCCCAGAGAAACAGAGACATGTGACCTTACAAAGAATTCAAAATAGCTGTTTTGAGGGACCTCAAGGAAATTCAAGGTAACACAGAGAAGGAAGTCAGAATTCTATCAGATACATTTAACAAAGTAACTGAAATAATTAAAAAGAATCCAGAAGAAATTCTAGAGTTAAAAAATGCAACTGACATACTGAAGAATTCATCAGAGTTTAAATGTATGGGCAAATCTATTACTAAGTCATAATTAAAGTTATTAAAGCATAGGGCAAATCTACGAGTTATTGGCCTTAAAGAGGAGGTAGAGAAAGACAGAGGGGCCCGGGTGCAGTGGCTCACACCTGTAATCCCAGCATGTTGGGAGGCCGAGGCGGGTGGATCACAAGGTCAGGAGATTGAGACCAGCCTGGCCAAGATGGTGAAACCCCATCTCTACTAAAAATATGAAAATTAGCCGAGCGTCATAGCAGGGTCCTGTAATCCCAGCTACTCAGGAGGCTGAGGCAGGGAACTGCTTGAACCCAGGAGGCAGAGGTTGTAGTAAGCCAAGACTGCACCACTGCACTCCAACCTGGGCGACAAAGTGAGACTCCACCTAAAAAAAAAAAAAGAAAAAAAAATAGAAAGACATAGGGGTAGAAAGTTTATTCAAAAGGATAATAACAGAGAACATCCCAAACCTAGAGAAAGATACCAACTTTCAGGTACAAGAAGTTTATAGAACACCAAGCAGATTTAACCCAAAGAAGAAGATGACCTCAAGGCATCTGATAATTAAACTCCCAAAGGTCAAGGATAAAGAAAGGAACCTAAAAGCAGCAAGAGAAAAGAAGCAAATAACATGCAATGGAGCTCCAATACATGACATGGGGTAGTCACCTTTCCAGTGGAAACCTTACAGGCCAGGGGACAGTGGCATGACATATTTAAAGTGCTGAAGGAAAAAAAACTTTTACCCTAGAAAAGCATATCTGGCAAAAATGTCCTTCCAACAGGAAGGAGAAATAAAGACCCTCCTAGACAAACAAAAGCTGCGAGATTTCATCAACGCCAGACCTATCCCACAAGAAATGCTAGAGGGAGTTTTTCAATCTGAAAAAAAAGGATGTTAATGACCAAGAAGAAATCATCTAAAGGTACAAAACTCACTGGTAATAGTAAGCACACAGAAAAACAGAGTATTATAATACTGTAATTGTGGTGGGTAAACTACTCTTAATTAGAAAGACTAAATGATGAACCAATCAAAAATAATAAGTACTTTTCAAGACATAAACAATACAGTAAGACATAAAGAGGCTGGACCCGGTGGCTCACGCATGTAATCTCAGCACTTTGGGAGGCCGAGGTAGGTGGATCACCTGAGGGCAGGAGTTCGAGACAAGCCTGGCCAACATGGTGAAACCCCATCTCTATTAAAAATACAAAAAATTTAGCCGGGCGTGGTGGTGGGCGCCTGCTACCCAGGAGGCTGAGGCAGGAGAATCGCTTGAACCTGGGAGGTGGAGGTTAAAGTGACCCGAGATCGTGTCACTGCACTCCAGGCTGGGCAACAGAGCAAGACTTTATCTCAAAAACAAAAAAAGACAAAGAGAAACAACAAAAAGTTAAAAAGCGCCGGGATGAAGTTCAAGTGTAGAGTTTTTATTAGTTTTTTTTTTTTTTTTGCTTTATGTTTGTTTGTGCAATCAGAGTTAAGTTGTCATCAGTTTAAAATAATGAGTTATAAGATAATATTTGCAAGCCTCACGGCAACCTCAAATCAAAAAGCATACAGTACGTGAGACTGTGTCTCAAAAAGAAAAAACACGCAATGGATACACACACACAAGAAAGCAAGAAATTAAATCATACCACCCGAGAAAATCGCCTTCATTAAAAGACAAGAAGGGAAAAAAAAAAAAAAAAGACCACAAAACACTGAGAAAGCAAATAACAAAACAGCAGGAGTAAGTCCCTGCTTAGCAATAATAACATTGAATGTAAATGGACTAAACTCTCCAATACAAAGACACAGAGTAGCTGAATGGATGAAAAAGCAAGGCCCAATGCTTTGTTGACTAGAAGACACACACTTCACCTGTAAAGATACACATAGGCTGGGCACAGTGGCTCACGCCTGTAATCTCAGCACTTTGCGAGACTGAAGTGGGCAGATCACAAGATCAGGAGATCAAGACCATCCTGGCTAACACGGTGAAACCCCATCTCTATGAAAAATACAAAAAATTAGCTGGGCATGGTGGCGTGCACCTGTAGTCCCAGCTACTCGGGAGGCTGAGGCAGGAGAATGGCTTGAACCAAGGAGGCGGACCTTGCAGTGAGCTGAGATCACGCCACTGTACTCCAGCCTGGGCGACAGAGCAAGACTCCATCTCAAAAAAAAAAAAAGATACACATAGACTGAAAATAAAGGGATAGAAAAAGATACTCCACGCCAATGAAAAACAAAAAAGAGCAGGAGTAGCAATACTTAGACAAAATAGATTTTAAGACAAAGACTGTAAGAAGAGGCTGGGCATGGTGGCTCACGCCTATAATCCTAGCACTTTGGGAGGCTGAGGTGGGTGGATCACGGGGTCAGGAGATCAAGACCATCCTGGCTAACATGGTGAAACCCCATCTCTACTAAAAATACAAAAAATTAGCTGGGCGTGGTGGCGTGTGCCTATAGTTCCAGCTACTCGGGAGGCTGAGGTGGGAGAATGGCTTGAACCTGGGAGGCGGAGCTTGCAGTGAGCCGAGATTGTGCCACTGCACTCCAGCCTGGGTGACAGAGTGAGACTCCCTCTCACAAGCAAAATAAAACAAACAAAAACTGCAAGAGGAGACAAAGAAGGTCATCCAGCAACAGAATATAACAATTGTAAATATATATGCACACAACACTGGAGCACATAAAGCAAATGTTATTAGAGCTAAAGAGATAGACCTTAATGCAATAATAGCGAGGGACTTCAACACCCCACATTCAGCATTGGCCGGACGTCCCAGATGAAAGCCCAGCAAGAAAACATTAGACTTAATCTGCACTACAGAACAAATGGACCTACTAAATATTTACAGAACACTTTGTCCAAAGTCAGCAGAATACCCGTTCTTCTCCTCAGCACATGGATCATTCTCAAGGATACACCATATGTTAGGTCACAAAGCAAGTCTTAAAACATTAAAAAAGTTAAAATAATGTCAAGCATCTTCTCTGACCACAACAGAATAAAAGTAGAAATCAACAAGAGGAATTCTGGGAACTATACAAACACGTGAAAATTAAACAATATGCTCTGGAATGACCAGTGGTTCAAGGAAGAAATTAGGAAGGAAATTTGGCTGGGCACAGTAGCTCACACCTGTAATCCCAGCACTCTGGGAGGCTGAGGCAGCCAGATGACCTGAGATCAGGAGTTTGAGACCAGTCTGGCCAACATGGTGAAAACCCCGTTTCTACAAAAAATAAAAAATTAGCAGAGCATGGTGGCATGTGCCTGCAGTTCCAGCTACTAGGGAGGCTGAGATGGGAGGATTGCTTGAACCCAGGAAGTCAAGGCTGCAGTGAGCCCTGATGGCATCACTGCACTCCAGCCTCGGTGACAGAGCAAGACCCTGTCTCAAGAAAACAAACAAAAAAACAAAACACACACACACACACACACACACACACAGATGCTCAAACTAGTATCATTTTGCTGTTAGAGCCAAGAGGGGTGGCCTGTGTAGTAAAAACGGGGGAAGTCATTCCTTGCACAATGCAAACCTGGACCAAGAGTCCAAACTGACTCTTGACAGGCTGTTGGGAGATATCTGCTAAGGCCTTGGAATGTCCTGCCTGAAATAGTGCCTTTGTACATAGCTGGGGCCTTGGATCATACAACATAGTTTATGCCAACAATGTGACCGGGGGTGGGGCCCTTGGCCTGTATCCATCTGACTTCAGGAGGGGCTAGAGACTGAGTAACTGAGGTCAGCCATGTTGGGGGGCTCAAGCCTAGGTTTTTGTGTCCCAACAAAAACCCTGGACACCAAGGCTCAGGTGAGCTTCCATGGCTGGCAGTGCTCTCTATGTCACTTGCTGTTGGGGGAGAATTAAGCACTGCCTGTAGGAGTCCACCAGGAAAGACAGCTGCAGCCTCAGCCTGGTTATTCTGGACTGTGGCCCCTGTGCCTTTCATCTTTGCTAACTTTAATCTGTACCCTTCTCTGTAATAAACTGTAACAGGAAGGATAACAGCTTTTCTAGGTCTGTGAGACCTTCTAGCAAATCACCGAACCTGAGGGTGGTCTGGGGGACCACAACACAGTCTCCCACCCTAGCCAGGGAATGGGCTGATTCCTGGCATATGCCTATTCATATCCACCCAGCCAAGACATATGCATGGACTTTGTTGCCAAGCCAGGCAGCCAGTGATGGGTCTCTGGGCGTGACGTGGGGGTAGGCTAAGAATCTAAGAACCTGCTAAGAATCACTATGCCTGTATCTCAAGTCAAGTCAGGTGTCCAGGTAAGAATGAATGAGGTGAGGCCAGTCTCGGTGGCTCACACCTGTAATCCCAGCACTTTGGGAGGCTGAGGGTGGTGGGTCGCCTGAAGTCAGGAGTTTGAAACCAGACTGGCCAACATGGCAAAACCCATCACTACTAAAAAGACAAAAATTAGCCGGGGGTGGTAACGGGTGCCTGTAATCCCAGCTACTCGGGAAGTTGATGCACGAGAATTGCTTGAACTCGGGAGGTGGAGGTTGCAATGAGCTGAGACTGCACCACTGCACTCCAGCCTGGGTGACAGAGCAGACTCCATCTCAAAAAAAAAAAAAGAAAAAAGAATGAGGTGACAGGGTGACAGGTGAGGGGTGAGCGCTGACATCAGGCAGGTGACTCAACACAACCAGGACATTGGCAGGGGCCCAGAATGGATTCAGAAACCAAGTGGGAGCCACTAGATTCATTTTCTGTACAACAGGGTCCCAGCTGAGGAGCAAGTTCGGGGGGCTTGATGCCCAACTCTAGTGGGGCACAGCACAAAGCTCGTAGGGGGAAGGGGTCACCAGAAAGCCAACGACATGAGAGTGGCTGGGCCGGGGCTGTCCGGCGGGCACCGAGAAGCTGAAGCGCTGCAGCAGGCAGGTGAAGAAGAGGAAGAGCTCCATGCGGGCCAGGGGCT